AAAAAGACAGTGTCTTATCTATTCAACAAATGTCAAAAAAATCATAAAATAAAATAATATAATAAAAATGCTGATACTTTAATAGTTTAAGCTATAGTGTAATAGTCTATAGGAAGTAGGAATACATTTATTATCACTTTAAATTCATACGCATTGAAAATTGAAACACCTAGCGATGCTAGTTCATGTACGTGTCGATTTCATGGATTTCACTTATTTTGATTGAGTTTTACATGTAATAATTTACCAATCATTAATTTCTTAAATATTTAACTTCATTATACTTACCAAAGTTAAGTTATGCTTTTGGATAAATGATTTATAGTGAAAAGTAAATGAAATCATATATTAGACTTGTCATTGAAAATATATCAGGTGTTTTACTATTACAGTAAAGCACCAAAAATAAATGAGGAAGCTAAGAATTATCAAGTCTAAAACTTTAAAGATCATTAGATTATGTAAAGTCCCCACAAAGTAAAATTAAAATTTCTGAAATTTAATAACAAATAGAATTATTTGTCATAAAAGAAGTTATAAATGGAGTGAGGAAAAAAGTTGGTATGGCACCAAATAAGCATTAAGCATGTGTAAATGCAAAATATCAAGTGTGGTTTGAAGATATCATGGGGCCTTTACAAATTGGCATAATATAATGTAAATTAAGAAAAAGTTGTATTTTTTATATTTTTTAACACACACACATACCTATTCGATTAAGTTATGCAAATACTTATGTCCTAGAAAAAAAATATATATATATATATATATTATTCTTACGAAAATATGCATTTTCATTAAAAAAATATCCTGAATTTATTACACTTGTGTTGTAATAATGACACACTCAAGAATATCAAACTAATAATTTTATTAATATGGTATGATTTACTTGTTGTATATAGAAAGTTGGTTCTACTATGGAGCCAACTACTGACTTCATAGCAAAACTAAACTTTTATATAATATTCTTAAGAATACTAGCAAAGAACAGGAAAAGGAATAGCTTTTATCTTCATTAATGAACTTTATCACTACAAAAAAATGATGAAATTTCAACAGAAATATATTCTAATAGAATTTCAACGACAATTCCAATAGATATTTCAATGCTATTATTTTCATTGGAATAATTCCAACGGAAATTCCAACAAAAATATTCCGTTGGAATAAATTTTTCATTGGAATTTTCGTTGGATTTTGACGATTACAACGATAGATTTTTCAACGCTGGTAGAAATAATAATTCCAACGGAAAGTGCATATTCCAGCAGAAATTCATACGGTGAAAAGTCGTTGGAAATATAGCCGTTGGAATCATCAAGTTCCATCTAAAATTCCAATAAAAAATACATTCCAACGGACTATTTTCGTTGGAATCATTCCAACGGAAGCTATACCATTGAATTATTCCGTTGGAATTTCCATTGTAATATTACCATAAGAATTTTCGTTGGAATATAACAACTTTTTTATAGTGTATGTTAGCTTCCCTCTTGATGATAATGGAAAATCAGCTCTATAAAAGGAGGATTTTGAAATTATATTTTAAATGGAAAAAAATGTAAATAATAAAAATGATCTATTAAGCAGTCTTTTCTTAATTGAGAACTTTTGGATCATAATAATTTGCACGCTAAGGCTTCTCATCCATCCTTTTTATTAAAAGAATAATAATTAAAAGAATATGGTTCTTTCTTGATATTAATGTTCCATGTAAGTAGTTGTGACAGCCATAAATATGGTTCTTTCTCGATCATCTCTTGTGGGATGGTCAGGCTGAGATCGGGCCGTTCCTCTCCCCTTCTTTCTCCCGATTTCTCTGTTTTTGTGGTCTCTTGGTTGCATTGGCGGATTCGGGGTCGGGTCTTGTGGCCTGGGCCTGGGTCGTCGGGGCTAGAATGGTGGAGCTTGTTGTTGATCTTCGGTTGCAGGTCTCGGATTGTCTACCTGGGCGGGGCAAGGTTTTATGTCTCGAGTCTAGTTAGGCCTTTATTTTGCAATTTCTGGTTTCGTGACATGGACTGGGTCTCTGTCTGTGTGGGTGGCTGCCCGTGGGTGTCGGCATAGTTTTTGTTCGACTTGGTTCAACTGCTGTGGGAAGGGCTTTTTTTGTTTAATTTTGTGTTCTTTTTGGTGCTCGGTTGGTGTTGTAGGGTATTCTTGTTTGTTGTGTCTTTTTTTGTTTGTTGCTGTGTTTTGGTCTCCTTTTGGGAGTGCCTTTGTCCCCCACCTGGGGAGTGTCTTTGTTTTTCTTTTGGGAAAGTGTTGTGTGTAGTGTGTGTTTAGTCTAGTTTGTCTGGCTGGGGATGGATTCTCTCGTAGGAACCTTCTTTTCCTTTGCGTTTAGTGTTTTAAATGCAAAGGTGCTACATATTGCTAGTGGGCAATCGGTTGTAATCTTTTGGAGGTTATGTTATCTATCGTTTGACAAAAAAAAAAAAAAAAGTTAAGTAGTTGTGGCAGCCATTATTTATAGATCAGCGAGTCAAACATTTTCTTTTTAGTGGGAATTAGAATATGGGTCCAAAAATGGTGATGGTTCTTGCTTGATATTTGACAGACTTAACGGCTAGGCTATTATCTATAACTTTTTAAATTATACATATTTTTGAATTAAAATGTCATATTTAAAAATAAATAAATAAATAAAATTATGGTATTTTATAGCAAAATCATGATTTTTTGTTCAAATAAAGTACTGTGGATTGATATAATGATATTCTAATGCTATGTTGCATCATACAAAAATTTGTGTGTTTTGGCTCTTACGCAGTGAAAAATAGTTTCCTACAGTTTGATGGGCAAGTTAAGCGTTCTATTCTATCTATTGCTCATTGCTGGGTTTAACCATTCAAGGTTACATGTAACTTGTAAGGCAAGTACTAATTTTGACCTAGGTTGTGAAAAAACAAAAACAGTATCTTGAGTGATAAAGTTGGATTTATGTGTGTGCGCCCCGAATAGGTTTAGTTGAAGATCTTATGTAACTACTAAAAGTCACATAGAGCTAGCAATTCCAGTGTTGGACTTGCTGTAGTCTTCTAATCATTTACTTCATTCACCTTATATAAAAATTATTGCCACGAATATTAGATTTAAATTTTTATTACATTTATGTACACTTTTTTCATTCCAATGATAGGTTCGNTATAATTTCACCATCTGAGTCATCAATCAGCATCGACGTCGACGTCATATTCCCTCTCCTTGTCTTTGGCCTCGTTGGCACCAGCGACGAACAACGACGTTTTCAATCACCGATAATGGAAATTAGAGTTGTTTGTTGGATATTTCATTGTTGTTTTGTTTATCTAATGTTTAACTACGTTACATCTATATTCCTTTAATAGTTTTTTTTTATATTTTATGATTGCGGCGATATGTATATGTACCATTTATTTAAAGTTTATACCTAAAAAATATAATGAATAATTTTTTAATATTTTTTATTTGTGTATTATATGAATAATAAGTAAATAGAGTATAACTTTTTTATTCCAATTTGTAATATAATTATTTTTTGAATAATTTATATGAAAACATAAACTCAATTTTTATTTTGTGTTTCACAAACAATTATGTTCTTAATATGTTTCTTATTCTGATACGGAATGCCATACCGGGTTGACTGGCTGACCGAGCTAGGAGTCAAGGTTCGACCTGAACGTGGCGTCAGGTCAACAGTGGTCTACTGAAATCAAGGTTCAACCTGAATGTGGAGGTGGTCGAGAAAAAAGGTGCCAGAATAGGGGGAGCTCGAATATTGTGGTTGACTAAGAGTCGAGCCACAACAAATGGAGGTCAACAGAGAAGAGTCAAGGATAATCAAATCTACTCTTGGATCGAGCTATTCTAGCTCGACCAGAGTGGAGGGGACTAGATGTGGGATACCATACCAGGTTGCCTAGACCCAAAAACCAGGTAACCAAACTGGACGGGATGGCTGATCGAGCTGAGACTGTCAGTCAACCTGAGTATGCCGTCAGGTCTTTTAGCAGGAGATCGACAAGAGCATATTAAACGAAAGAGTTAGGTTTGACTGGCAGTTATTGGGCGTAGAGTGACTCTGGTCGAGGGATCGAGCTCTGAGGTGGTACATGAGCTGAGGGGGAGGTGTCTCTACCTGGTGACGTGGAGGTTGGTCTTACGAAGGAATCTTAGGGCAACAGGTATCCCACTCATATAAATAGGAGTGAGGTAGCTTCCTTTAGACTCTCGCTACATTCACTATTATACTATCATACTGCACTTCATCTCTGCCAAGTGCAGACTTAGGCATCAGAGGCTCTTTACCGGAACCCCTCTTGGGTGTTGAGTTCTTGAAGGTGCGGAAGTCGTCCAAGGTAGAAGAGGTTGTAATTCTTTGTATTATGCCGAGCAGAAACCCGAGTGAAGTCCGTTTCACTATTATATTGTTTATGATATGTATATTTATAGTTTATACATATGAGTTTTAACAATAATCTAATCCTCTTGGACAAATCTCGACTCCTCATAATTTGAAACATGTTCTGTTATTTTTTTTAGACACGTTCTGTTGTTTGACATGTTTTGTTATTTTTTGAATTTCGATCACAAAATTAATGAAATCTAAAAAGAGTGTGTTTTATTTGACAGTTACTTATTCAATGAGTTTATTACTTATACTAGTATGTAGCCCGTGCGATGTAGGGGATAATAATTATAATTGAATGTTTTAATGCAATGAAGCAATATTGATTTGTATAAAAATAGTTTTTGAATATTAATAATTATTTTATTTTATGATATATAATAATTTAGTATTTGATTTATATGTTTATTTTACTCGTTATAAAATAGTTGTCATTTTAGATCATGTTTATAATTAAGAATAATGAAAATTTAACATATTCAAATATTATCAATAAATACTACTCACATAATACTTCTTAATCTATCTTCTCTTACCATACCATCTTACAGTATATTATTTCGATTTCTAAATAAGGTACGTTAAAGTTAAAAAATTGTGGCAAATATTATAACCAATTCTTAATTGAAAAAGATTGAAATAAAAATTATTTTGGAAGTTAAAAAAATTATTAATCATTAATTACATCAATATTATTTTATTTTATTCTTATAATTTATAATATGATAAATATTTAATATTTTTTCTAATTTATTAAT